ACAGACTGTCACAGTGTAACCTGTGTAACACGGATAGTACACAGACTGTCACAGTGTAACCTGTGTAACACGGAGAGTACACAAACTGTCACAGTGTAACCTGTGTAACACGGAGAGTACACAAACTGTCACACTGTAACCTGTGTAACACGGAGAGTACACAAACTGTCACACTGTAACCTGTGTAACACGGAGAGTACACAGACTGTCACAGTGTAACCTGTGTAACACGGAGAGTACACAGACTGTCACAGTGTAACCTGTGTAACACGGAGAGTACACAGACTGTCCCAGTGTAACCTGTGTAACACGGAGAGTACACAAACTGTCACAGTGTAACCTGTGTAACACGGAGAGTACACAGACTGTCACAGTGTAACCTGTGTAACACGGCGAGTACACAAACTGTCACAGTGTAACCTGTGTAACACGGAGAGTACACAGACTGTCACAGTGTAACCTGTGTAACACGGAAAGTACACAAACTGTCACAACGTAACCTGTGTAACACGGAGAGTACACAGACTGTCACAGTGTAACCTGTGTAACACGGAGAGTACACAAACTGTCAGACTGTAAGCTCTGGCAACATCCAATCTCTGGCAACATCCCACCTTCACAGAACACACATGACATCAATACACTGGTTGCATTGCCAGATCATTGGCATCAAAATGGACTGACACCTGTCCTTCAGTTCTTAGATTCCTGCAGAAAAGTGTAAGACGTGCATCATCAGGGAGTATCCACAGCTACATTGTAGTTGCTATGAAAGAGGGGTCCTCTAAAGAAAACTATAGTCACAAAAGCCACTTTAGCTTAATGAATCAGTTTTGGTGTATAGATCGTGCCTCTGAAGTTTCCACTATCATGCTACCTTGTGTATCAGTCAGGGGCATGTCACAGGCTGGTGTCACATTGCAGGGTATTGGGGATATTCCTAATAACTTTCAGCTTGTCCCCAGCGATTCTCACGCCAGCCGCGATAAAGCCACCTCCTGTTATGACGTAGCTAATGAGAACCAACGTCATGACGCTAAGCACACCACGGCCCGCCAAGATGTTCGAACGAGAACATTTTGTGGGCGTGGTTACCTACCTAATTGAACACAGTATTTAAAGAGAAACCAGGGAGACATTGCCCTATTATGGTTCTTGTTTGACCCAAGAGCGCGTATTCCATATTGGTATTCTGACTTCGTTTGACTATTCCTCCTTCTGTGTTCCTTTGACCTCGGCTATTGCATTATCCTTGATCCTGATTTCTGGTACCCCTGACCTCGGCTCGCTATTTGACTATTCTTTGTGTGTGTAGTGTTAGTCCGGCCATCCTAAGGTCTGGAATACATTACTACTATTTGCATTCTGCGTGTAGGATCCCCGAACGTTCCTGACATCAACTCACTGCCATTTAGGAGTTAAATCACTTGTTTCTGTTAATGCAGCCCTAGCCACACCTCTGACTGACAACCTGCAGAAATAAAAAGGTTCATTTTCAATCAGATGTAACTTATTATAAAAGTTTTTATTTCCTGCTCTGTAAATTGAGCTTTTATTAGACACAAGAAGCTCCTGCAGGGTCTATCAAGCTATTAACAGAGCAGGAGATATAAAATTCTAAATGAAACAGAATGTGCAAAGAAGGAAGTGTAAACATTAGATGACTCTTTACAGGAAGTGTTTAGGAAGGCTGAGTAAGTCACTTGCAGGGAGGTGTGGCTAGGGATGTATAAACAAAGTGATTTAACTCCAAAATGGCAGAGAATTAAGTAGTGAGACTGCAGGGACATGATCTATGTACACCAAAATGACTTAATTACGATAAAGTAGGTTTGGTGACTACGGTGCGCCTTTAAATATAAAGGCCAAGATGAAAGTTGAGAATTGAGAGACCATATCTTAATTTGGATTCATTATGAAATACATACATCCACTTGATATTCTGCGTGCACAGGGCTTATATACTTTATGTATTTAATTATTGTTTTGTGCCATTGTTAAACTTTAAACTCTCAGTTCCCTGAATCTCTTCCCAGACGCCTGCTGCTGTCCCTGTGTAGCATCGTAACCTCAGAACAGGAATAATGGAAACATCCTGCTAATATAGATCTAAACCCCTGCAAAGCACAGCACATCTCATACCGCAGTGAATATTTCCAATCATTTTCTGCAGACTGTGTAACTCTGCACAGCCGTTACAGCCAGCCTGCCATTGCATTACAGTTCATTCCAGTTACTTTAACTAGTTTTGACAGACAACCGGTTTCAAAGCAATAACTGATTTCCCTAGGACCAAATATATTAAAAACCTGTGCATTCCTCTGTTGTTATAACATGATTTAAATGTCACTCATAACAGATGCCCAGGGCTTTGTTTAAACAGGTGGGTGCCTTTCTAAATGCAAAGTGGGCGAAGGAGGGAGACAATGTATGATTGCAGAGAATGAGCTGGAGCAATTTAATTTCATGTTCTCTGCCTGTGAGATGTCTTTTAATAATCACATAATAGACTATCTTTGCAGGATTTTAGTAATCTCCCAGACTCGAATTCTAGTCTCATTGACTTTGTTCGTTTTGCGTCTGCTTGGAATGAATTTAAACCCCCTGAAAATTGCAAGAAATGGCAAATCAATTCACTTTTGCTCTGCACAAGACTATTCACGGGTAACTATTACATAACGCGAGGAATTAGGTTAGAATTCTAACATTAACGTGATAAGTGATTGAACGCACATAGGAACGTGCTCCGTAAACATTGCCGGATTTATTTCATGTTTCTTGTAGATATTTTTTTCCCAGGCACTTTCTATAAAATAAAAACCCTACTGACACTGGGAGATTGATCATTCAATCATTGTGACATTATAGAAAGTAATACCGTGTATAGAAGTTAGGAGTGGGGGGAATGAGGGTGGGCTGCCGTTGGGATAGGGGTCAGAGTGATGGCTGAACTGGTAGCCAACAGGTAATTATCTCAGATGAGTTGAAATACGAGGAGTGGGCTAAGGGATGGACTTCTTGTTGGTCCACGGTGGCTTTAGTAAATCACGGAGGTGGCAGATTTAATGAGAGGAGGAGGTTTCTACCAGTACTAGGAGGCTAGAGGTGAATATCCCTACCAAGTGTCTCAGAGTCTCGGGGACATTCCTGATTTGGATCACTTGTCCAGCTGTCCTGAGTTATTCCTTAGTGTTTGCTTAGAGGCAATAGCACTGAGTGGGCATAATACATTCATACAAACCCTCAGTATTCACCAGTACTCTCTGTGACCTTTCTTACTACAGTGAGTGCCTTAGTTTTTACTATCTGTGCACTCTCTGTGACTGTGCCTCCTTAACAAATCAAGAAAAGTTTGGGTGTAAAACCACTTGTTACATTGCAGATATTTAATCACGGATGGAACAACGTTTGGGTCACACAGGGAGATCTATGTCAACTGCCTGGTTAGCAGACAAAAGTAAGTAGGCAGAGAGAATGGAATAAAGCAGGAGGTGAGTGAGAAGGTAAGTAGGCAGAGAGTACAGCAGGAGGTGAGTGAAGGAAGGTAAGTAGGCAGAGATTATAGCAGGAGGTGATTGAGGGAAGGTAAGTAGGCAGTGAGTGTAGCAGGAGGTGAGTGAGGGAAGGTAAGTAGGCAGAGAGTATAGCCAGGGCCGGTGCTAGGATTTTTGACTACACAGGCGAAGATGCATTTTGACGCCCCCCCCCCAAAAAAAAAAAATAAACAATGCATCTTCACCTCTGTGTCTCGTAGCCCCCTTTTGAATTTCTTACCCCCATTAGTGTTGCATATCCACTCTCTTGAATGTCTTACCCCTTTGGCCCCTTTGTGCCTTACACCCCCCTTTAGTGTGTCTCCTACAAGCCCTCTTATGTATTTCTTACTTCCCCGCCAGCCCCTATCTATCTCTCTTTTTCTCCCACATAGACATAGATACAGGCTAAAATACATACATGCACAAATACACAAACATACAGACACACAACCATACAAGCACACAGACATAATTTTTCAGGCACACAGTCACAAAGATATACAGACACACAGTCATAAAAGGCACACAAACAAACACAGTCATACAATCTACACATACAGGTACATTGTCGTACAAACACAGACATACATTCATACAGACACAGGCATTCACAGAAATACATACACAGACATAAAGAAACAGAGATAGGCATACAGAGACATACATACACAGACAAACAAAGAACCCTGCACACTGACACCGTGTAAATGCTCCGGCCATCAACAGAGGTGGATGCTCCATGTCAGGCAGACATTGCTGGATCCACCAGTAAAGTCTTCAAAAGGAATAAACACAGGCAACACTCCAATAGTAAGGATGGTATATTTATTGGTAGGTGAACCACCCCATAGAAAGTGTGATGTTTCAGCTCATGCAATAAGGCTCTGCTGAGCCGAAACGACGCACTTTATACCATCCTTACTATTGGAGTGTTGCCTGCGTTTATTCCTTTTGAATACATTTACACAGTCATACAGAGACATACATACTGTATGTCTCTGTATGACGGTCTGTGTATGTACACAGGATGGCTAAAAGATAGATCCCCATCTGTCGTGCAACTTCAACAATGCGTTGAAAGCTGGGGCTCTACCGATTCCCCATTCTTGCAGGATTGTATTTAGCATGGAGCAGTATTTGTGTGTTTGACTGTAAGCATGTGTTTGTATGATTGTAGCGGTGTGTTTGTATGTAGTGTTTGCATTTGAATGCAAGCATGCATTTATGTGTAGTGTTGGTTTTTGAATGCAGGTGTGTGTTTATATATAATTTTGGTGTCTGATACAGAGGTGTGTTTGTATGTAGTGTTGGCATTTGAATGCAGGGGTGTGTTTGTATGTAGTGTTGACGTTTGCATGTAGGTGTTTATTTGTGTGTAGTGTTGTGTTTGAATGCTGAGATATATGCACATATACACATACACTGCCACACACGCACACACTGTGATACACATACACAAAGATACACACACTGACACATGCAGATATACATATACACAAACTGATACACATTCAGATAGACACACAGGTACACACAAACACTGACAGACATACAGATAAACACACAGTGACATACAGACACACATACACAATGATAGGGAAGAAGACACACAAAGACACACTAACAGACAGACACACACACTAACAGACATTTAGATACACACAGACACATGGACAGAGACATATACATACACACACTGACAGACATGGATGCACACACACACACTGACAGACATAGATACACACACACACACTGACAGACATACACACACACACACTGACAGAGATAGATACACACACACACTGACAGACATACACACACACACTGACAGATACACACTGACAGACATAGATACACACTGACAGACACACTGACAGACATACACACACACACACTGACAGACATAGATACACAGACACACTGACAGACATACACACACACACACACACTGACAGACATATAAACACACACTGACAGACATATACACACACAGACACACTGACAGACATATACACACACACTACACACACACAGACACACTGACAGACATACACACACACACTGACAGACATACACACACACAGACACACTGACAGACATACACACACACACACTGACAGACATATACACACACAGACACACTGACAGACATATACACACACACTGACAGACATATACACACACACTGACAGACAGACATAGATACACACACACACACACACTGACAGACATACACACACACACACACACTGACAGACATACACACACACACACACTGACAGACATAGATACACACAGACACACTGACCAACAGGTTCAGAAGGGGGGCTTACCTGGGATCCAAAGTGCTGCCTAAGGTAGTTGGGAGTTGGAGGAGCTGGTCCTGCCCAGCCCCCCTCCTCTCTGCCTTCTCCTGCTCTAGTCTTCTTGGGAGGACTTCCTCCCATGCTGAATAGAAGGGGGCACGTAGCTCCGCCCCTGCTGGGCACCAGCCGCGCTGTGTGCTTCAGTGGGAGCAGGGATATGACGTTCATATCCCCGCCCCCTCCACACAGTCCGCGGCAATGCAGGTTGGCGCTCGGCCACGCTACAAGAAGTGACCGGCAGGAGAGGGGAGCTGTGCGCTTCTCTCCTGCTGGCCACCCGGACATTTGCGCCCCCGGGCCGGTGCGCCCTAAGGCGGCCGCCTGTGCCGCCTTATGGACGCGCCGGCCCTGGGTGTTTTTGTCCTTAAATTTGAAATCCACTCTGAATTCCTAGCAATTGTCACGTTTGCTATATTTTATAGATTAAATTTTTTTACTTAATTTACTACCAGGGCTATTCACTAATATGAGAATAGTCATAAATGCCAAAATTTCAAAATGTATGCAAAAATATTCAAATTAGAAATATATTTCACTTTTTGGTTTAAAATGTCTTGGTAAAGATTAGTGAAGGGCCCCACACCGATTTTAACCAAGGACACTTATAGGAATATGTGTTAAGCCACATTAACATGAGGCATGGGGAAAATAGTTATTTATTGAAAATACCGTCTGGTTCTGTGAGCCTTCATGGCTATGAGAGTTGAACTATGAATCACCAGGGTGCAGTTTGTTCACCGTATCATGTAGAGACTGTATTTCCACATGAATAAATGTAAAAATTATAGCAAAACAAAGATTTTTAAAATAGATAAGTGTACAGGTGTTTCTTTTCTTTAATTCTCAATCTCTGCTATTAAAGTTCCGTAAAAAAACAATACATTATGTGAACTTTTTGCCATTACAGGCTAAAGAGTGCTGCTGTTTTTGGACTGTTATTACTAAGGAAAATGGGCCCTGCAGCGCAAAGCTGCTAGTATTTGCCTATTTCTACAATGTGAGGTATAGAGTGGATGTTTCTATGGATGTCTGATATTGCATTGTGGCACGAGGGGGCTTGTAAAAATAGAAGTGTAGCATACACTGATCAGCCACAACATTAAAAGCACTGAGAGGTGAAGAAAATAACATTGATTATATTGTTACAGTGGCACCTGTCAAGGGGTGGGATATATTAGGCAGCAAGTGAACAGTTAGTTCTTGAATTTAATTTGTTGGAAGCATGAAAAATGGGAAAGTGAAAATATTCGAGTGAGTTTGACAAGGTGCAAATAGTGATGGCAAGTTTTCAAAATGGCTGGTTTTGTGGATTGTTCCTGTTATGCAGTGGTTGTTACCTACCAAAAGTGGTACAAGGACGGGCAACCAGTGAACTGGCATCAGGATCATGGGCACCGAATTCTCATTGATGTATGTAGGGAGCAAAGGCTAGCCCTTCTGGTCTGATCACACAAAATAGCTAATGTGGCTCAAACTGATGGAAAACTAGAAAACCTTCTGTCCTCGCATTTAGATAGATGTTACTTTGACACTTACCATCTACCTAGAGATTGTTGCACACCACCTACACACATTCATGGCAATGGTGTTCCCTAATGGCTGTGGACTCATAGGATAATACACCCTGCAAATATTATTCAGAAATGGTTTGAGGAACATGACATAGATTGCAAGGTGTTACCCTGGCCTCCAAATTCCGTAGATCTCAATCCATTTGAGCATCTGTGGGATGTGCTGGAACAACCAATCCGAACCATGGAGGCCCCACCACACAACTTGAAGGACTTAAAGCAGGGGTGCCCAAAAAGTAGATCCCTCGATGTTATAGAACTACAACTCCCATGATGCTTTGCATGCCTTTAAAATGCCTTTAGAATGACAAAGCACCATGGAAGTTGTAGTTTTAAAACATATGAGGATCTACATTTTGGGCACCCCTGTTTTAAAGGATCTGCTGCTAATATCTTGTTGCCAGATACAACAGGGAGCATTCAGATGTCTTGTGGAGTCCATGCCTCGACACAGCCCAGCTGTTTTGGCAACACAAGGATGACCTACACAATATTAGGCAGGCGGTTTAAATGTTGAAGCTGATCAGTGTACTTATTAACTGGACAAGGAGAGGTTAGCACTAGAACTCTAGTGACTCAATTTGCATCACTAATTATACAAACATGTATTCCTAATGCTATAATGTCCTGCTACCTGTTCAGTCCTAAATGTACTAATCTATTTCAGAGAAACACAATGCCTGCTAAGAAATATGGAAAATATCTAAATATGTGCAAAGTATACAAATTCAGACATTTATGAAATGTCAGCTTGCCCATGATTGGGGCCATTCTCAAATATTGGAGCTTTCTGTTCCCTTACTTTTCAGGAGCATATCTAATTTTCCAGCTGGACTATTTTGGTGGGCACTTATTCACATTAAATAGAATAGACTCCATATATATTGCAAATATAATAATTTCCCAAAGTAACTGCATTTCTAAAACCACAATCACATTGTCAGTATTGCAATGTTGTACTTTATTCTATAATGTATGCACCTACACAAGTTAACAATCTCCCTTAAACAAATTAAACTAAAGTATGATGCATATTTTATTAAAAACTTAATATTGTACAATGTCCCTTGCTGCCATAATTGCTAACAGACAATTGACTTGTTCATGCATTCTTTTATAGTAACTAACATTTCTTGTAGTTCATATCTCCTATTAATTACAATCTACTGAGTTTAGTAATGCTTACATGTTGTAAACTTACCTTAGAGCTCTGTGGCCCACTAGTCAGTTTATTCATCATGTTGTCCAGCTCTTTAAATTTAAGCAAGGCTGTTTTCACCTCCCCATATAACTCTTTATATTCTGCATATTGGTCATTAAACACAGCTTTATAATTTTCACGTTCTTCTGCATTCCTGATTCCTGGGTATTTCCTGAAAAACCGATAGCTAATTAAATAACAGCTATTCTTGAACTAGAAATAGCATGAAGAAGCACACATTAACATAGACTGGTAAAAAAAAAAAAAAAACCTTGCAAAAGTTTTTTTTATTTATAGGAATTTTACAAAAAGAGAATTCTGATTGGATGAGAATTTGCACTTCATTATTACTGTAGATATATTATTTTATGTTTAAAGCTCCAATATTTTCTGGGATTCTTTACTATGGGTAACATACAGGAACGTGATGAAAAATAATTCACTGATGTTTCGAAGAAAACAGATAAAATTCACAATTTGCTAAAACAGGGCGAGAAACATTGTAACATTGCAACATTGATTATTGTATTATTTTCAAAAATGTCTACATTCTTTCTGCACTTTTAATGTGCTGGCACTCTCCACGAGGTGGTGCAGGTATTAGAGGTCACTCCCAAGCAGACCCCCCAAAAATATATACAACCTAATAAATATTAACACCGCACTCTGACACACCAAAAAAATGTTTCTAATAGAGACAAAAAGTATCAGAATTATTAACAATATTGCAGATACATACATGAGATGTGTACATAAGATGAATTTTGGTTAAAAACAAAGGTTGTACTACATGCTGAGGTCTTTTGCGGTTTTGAACCATGCTGCATGTGACAATTTTGATACATGATTTTAAATTTCTTGAAAAATATTTACTGATTAAACTTTGCATAATTCTGATAATTTTTGTCTCGATTAGACACATTTTTTGGTGTTTTCAGAGTGCAGTATTAATATTTATTAGGTTGTATACTGGTTTTAAGGTTTACCTAAAATTATAGACATTACCTAAACATAACCTAATATTACTATATTGATGATGGTGATGTTTTGCAAAGTTAATGCATTATGTATGGCTTACGATTTCAAGTTCTACGCTACTAGTCATGTCTTAAAATTAACTTGCTTCTGGAAGCCTAGAGTATCCAACAATGCAACTTACCTGGGCTGAATTTCTACTCACCAGGACGGCAAAGGTCAACTAGATTCTGGTGAGCGGATATTTCAAGCCCCGTGACATATTTACACTTTTAGATAATTTCACAGTTTTCTAAAAAAATATATCCTTTTACGTTTTATTAATTAGCTAATTAATATGTATCTTTATATGTATTGATTCTCTGATATCACTCAGTTTGTCTCAGAAGTGCTAGGATGGCAGATGACACTGAAGTTTAAATATATATCTAAAGAACTACCATGTCCAGGATTTCTGTAATTCACAACCCGGTAGCTAAGTAAATGTTAGCCGTAATATGCTTTGGGTTAATTTTGTTATAACATTTATTTATGTCATATGGAACACTGTAATTGCTGGGAGGGCAACCATGTTGTATGCTTACCTCCACACCTCACCCTAAATAATACTCAAACAACCTGGGTGAATGAAAACAAATCTGTCACTAGTTCAGAGTTCCTTAAGTTGTATTTCTCCTTCTTTTATCTGTATCTCCAAGGTACATTTAACCTAGGTTGAGAAACTAAAGGAAGTGAGCAGAGACAGACTAGGATTTTTGGGTTGATATTGTCACAAAAACCCTCAATTAAAATTTAAAGTGAATGCCACTGCTGGGTTACTTTTTCGTACGTTCAAATCTGTGCCTTCTCCCCACTTAATTCCCTACATTTACACCCTGTCCATTCCAATTTTCCTTCCTTTCCCTCACCAAATCCACACTTTTTTTTTCTTTGACAAGCCAAACTTACACAGTGCCATAACTCTCCCCCTAACCAGTCCATTTCACTGTTCCATCTCCCAACACAACCAAATTCTGGTTTTCCCTGCAGCTCAAAATCTGTCCACCTCAGTTTCTACATCTACAACACAATGTAAATCCTATATCTGGCTTCTTTTTATTTGATTTCCCTTCTGTGAGGAATACTTCCTATTGTTTACCTGACATACAATCGCTTCATTTGGGGGTAAAATGCTTACAGTACATAATCTGGTACAACATGAGGCTTTGGTCGATGCCCGATTGGAACAGAATAATTTAAGGCTCCAGTTTCACTGCCTTTATCTGAGAAATGGATGGTATTGGTAACTCCTCTTTTGTTGTCTCTCAGTTTTTCAACTTCATCTTGGAAAACTATCCTTCTGGGTCTCTCCATTCTCTGCAAGGAAAGATAGGTATTACATAGGTTTCCTTACAATCAATAAAAAACAATATTATTTAATGAGACAAACTAGTGGTTCTGTGAGCAAATTTGTTACATAACTATTAAAAAGTTTTCATCCCCCCAACCCATGACTCCTCTCCTGCAACTGTCAAAAATAACCAACTAAGCCCTTCAGTGAATACTTTTCTAGCAACCTACTTCGTTACCCCTACTTTTACCCTTTGTGTCACTATACCCCACTCCCTCTAGCATGTAAGCTCATTGGCAGGGCCATCCACACTGCACACTGATTTCTAAAGGTTGACTTTATGGAACATGGAACCACTTCATTTTACTGCAGTGGCTATGGTGCAAATATCATGTATCTGTAGCCTTTCTTTTTAAAAATGTTTATTTCCAGGGGGCATGGTCTAGACAGGGTTGTGTGGAAGGGCATGCGGAAACATGTGCCTCCTGAGCCACGGCCCTTCTGGTGGGGATGAAGGTTAGCAAAGAAAACCCTAACAAAGTCAGGCAACGAGGGGCAAGAAATGCAGAAAGTAGCCGAGCAAGGGTGCCACCTCGCGGCTGACAGATATACTCCCTACAGTGGGACACCTTATATCAACCCAGAATTGACCGGACTGGACATCCTCCCGGCCCTCAGAGGAGGCAGGGGAAGCCTAGCACAAAGTGGCCTCCTTGGATCTATCCCCCACCCATCTTTCACTCATGGGGGAATTATCTGCACACAACCATGAAGCGTTATGTAGGCAACACGCAGTGGCACAGCACCCTCCGCCTCCTAGGGGGCACTAATAACCCAACACGTGAATCAAGACAGGGACAGAACAGAAGACCGGACAGCCCTCTGACAAACGTCCGATTTTGTAGGAATGGTTTAAGGTACCACGCAAGCTTCACTGGGGCGCTCGATGGCTGTACATCCCCCCCGCCTGAGTACACCACTAGGCGCAGCGGATAACCCCCCGATTGACCTGGCGCTAGAAAAGACCGGGTTATACAAGCTCAGTATGTTTATGTTCAAAGTTTTACAGAAACGCTTGACACAAATTATCAACGCAATTATTTACAACATTACATAAATTGTTATTTCTTACCCTTATATGTTTTCTTCCCTACCCCCTATCCTCTCCCCACACACTGTCTCCCAGCTTACCTCTCTGTACCTGTACCACATGTTTAGGCTATTGACATTAAGTGAGGTCAGTTTGAGCTCCATGATGCCCCCCACGGCATCATGGAGCTCAAACTGACCTCACTTAATGTCAATAGCCTAAACATACCAAACAAATGCAGACTGATGCTCAGAGAACTGAAATGACAAAACGCAGACAAAGCCTTTATACAAGTGACCCACATCCCACTAAACTCAAAGATACAGCTCACAGGCCACGTCTACACAAGAGCATATGCTTCACGCACGCTCTGCAAGACACATGGGGTAGAAATTACCATCCATAAACGATGTCCCTTTAACGTACAATCCATACACAGGGATGCAGAGGGCAGGTACATAGCACTGATCGGCACAATCAACACTACTACATATCACCTCAAAAACGTATATGCCTCCAACGTCCCAGACGTCCAATTTTGGGCTAATTTAGAAAACCTAACTTCCTCTCTGGGGGAAATAATAGTACTGGGGCGGGTCTGAATCCAATGTCCGGCGGTCGACGGCAGAGTGGGACTGCTTACGTCCCAGGGAAGGGGAGGTCAGGACCAGCTCCTTAAGAGATTCATGCACAATACGGGCCTCCTTGACCCCTGGAGAATCCATCATCCGGGCATGAGAGATTACACATACTGGCGTACATTCCTCATACTCCTGAATAGACCTGTTCCTCACAAACCTGCAGGGAATGCAATGGACACGCTCCGCTATAATCAATCTCAGCTCATGGTCGAACCAATGCGGATACAGCACTGGCCCTGAGGGTCCCGGAATCCCTTGTGCCCTGGAGATGGAGAATAAACAACTCCCTCCTAAGGGACCAGGGAGTCCCAGAAAAACTCAAAACAGAAATAACTAACTATTTTCAAACAAACTTGCATCCAGATATGTCCCCCACCACAATCTGGGCAGTGCACACAGTAGTACTGAGAGGGGCACTGATTAAAATAGCTACACAACACAAAAAACACAAAACAGAATGACTATCAGAACTCCAAAGAGCTCTACGCAAAAAAAATGCAACACAAACAATCACCCACGCAAAATAAACTACGAGAGCTACAGGTCATCAGACATATGATAAAAGACCTTATCCTAGATGACATTTGCAGAGATGTTGTTCGCTCCAAGTGACTCTTATGAGAAATCGAATAAGATGGACACACTGCTAGCCAGAGCGCTGAAACCCAAAACAAAGCACAAATTAAAAATGCGCTGGGCACGATATCATGTAGTATAACTTTATCTGAATCCCCATTCAGTGTCGAACCACCCCAGGACAACAATAATGAATTCATGGAATTCCTGAGCCAAGTCTAAACCACTCCCCTTCCCTAAACGGTACAAATCCAGATTACGTAGAGACATTGGCAAGATTCCTCGACAGGGTTAACCTCCCTACACCCAAAGAGGAGGCACTGGCCGAACTAGGTTCGCCCATCACAGCAGAGGAGGTAGATAAGGCCATAGTGATGCTCAAGGGCAACAAAGCATCGGGCCCAGATGGGTTTGATGGGGTATATTACAAAACCCTGTGGGAAAACCTGGTGCCTCACCTGACAGCCATGTACACAGAATGGCTGGAAAGTGAACACCCCAACACAGTCCTTTCCACCGCAAACGTGACCCTTATCCTGAAACTGGGTCGAGATGACACAAACATGGCTAACTACGGACCCATCTCCCTAATTAACTTTGACACAAAAATATTCATCAAACTCCTCGCGACCAGATTGAACCCCGTGCTGACCACACTCATACATGCTGATCAAGTCGGCTTCATCCCAACAAGACAACTATACGAAAAAACTAGACAAGTGGTCGACCTAATTTGGTGGACATATAAGACTTGAATGCCTTCTCTCGTCCTATCCATCGATGCAAAGAATGCGTTTGACAAAGTACAATGGCATTATCGTTTTGCCCTCCTGCAGCGGATAGGGCTCCCCCAGAGCTATATTACCACCAAGAGAGCTCTTTATATCACACCACAGGCTCAAATAGCCTTGCAAGGGGCACGCCCAATCCTATTCAAACCCAGTAACGGCACCAGACAGGGGTGCCCCTTCTTACCCCTCCTTTTCATTATTGCCCTGGAACCCCTTCTCCATTTGATAAGACAACACCCAGGCATCAAGGGTATGAAAATAGCAACAGATGAATTCATAGTGTCAGCTAACGCCGACTATGTCCTGCTCACAATCACCGACCCAAAGGCATCACTCCCGAGATTGATTGAGCTCCTGGAGGAGTATCGGTTTGTCTCAAGGGGGATACAAAATTAACCTGGATAAGTGTGTGGCAATGCCGCTGGGGTTATCAGCAGGGGACGTGGCCCTGCTGGGGGAAAATGGTAACATTAACCTGACCCATCATCATATCAAGTATCTCAGAGTCAAATTAACACCTGACATAATAACCAGACTCTAAATAAAAAATTATACCCCATTGTTAAAGACCCTAACCAAAGACTTAGACGATTGGAATTAAAAGCCTATCTCGTGGATAGGCCGACTCCATGCAATCAAAATGAACCTACTGCCAAGCCAGTGGTTTCTTTTCCAAGCACTGCCAATAAAAGTGACGAAAGAGGACCTTCAACATTTACAGACAGTGATAGACAACTTTATCTGGACACACAAAAGACACAGGTTATCCCGACACGCACTCTACCGACTGAAGGGCCTGGGAGGCCTGGGACTGCCCAATCTCCACCTGTACTATCTCTCTGCACAACTAGCGCAAATCATTGAATGGCACTCGCCACCTCACACACGTAGGTGGGTGGAACTGGAATCTCTAGTAATGGGATCAGATCTCCTACAGTATTGGATATGGATACCGAAACAGGATCGGCCTCCCTAGCAATATTAAATTCCATACAGATATGGGACAAAACAGCGAGCAAGTACTTGTTAACCCACATTCCCTCATCTCTTACACCTTATTTAAGAAACAAAGTATTTGAACTGGGACTTAAGGCAAGGGACTTTCGAGGATACACAGGGATGCAGCGGTACTGTCAGATGTACGACACAAACGCGTTTAGGTCCTTTGACAAACTCAAATTACATGCATCATTAACCACGAAAGATCATTTCAGATCTATTCAAATGAGAGATTTCACTAGGAACACACAAGTAAGGGCAGCAGCTAGGTCCCCACTCACTTTTTATGAAAGACTGTGTATGGAGGAGACAGGACGTAGGGGCTTGATCACCTCCCTATACTGACCTACAACAGACATTACAGGGAGGAGAATGGCAGGAAATCTGAGAAGCAGCAGCCAAGGTCTCCATTTGCATGGCGCTCCAAGAGCAGTAATACAAAACGCACCTGAGGTCTTACATCACCCCAGTCAAGTTATGCAGAATGGGTAAAACCCCAATGGATTACTGCTGGAGGGGCTGCTGCGCAAGGGGGACCTATATCCACATGTGGTGGACATGTCCTAGGGTAGAAAGATACTGGACAGTAATAGAAAACTTGATGACAGTAGTGATGGGGAGACCAATCAGTAGGGACCCCTGTACCTATCTCCTGGCCAAACCACTAGATGGCCTCACAGCAAGGGAACAGAAACTAGTTATTAAAATAACACTTGCGGCTAGAAGGGCATCAGGCTGGCCACCAACAATCCCCCCCCCTTAATAAAGTCATCACCAAAATAAAAGAGAGCTTTCTCATGGACAAATTAACAGCACAGGTGTGTAATACATATGCCGCCTTTCCTAAAGTGTGGCAGCCATCGAAGGATTACACAGAAAGGAGCGGCAGCGTATAAACAATAGAGAGAGAGAGACCTCCGAGAGCCCCCCCCATAACCATCTCACCCCTATAAAACATACACCCCAGAAAACCAGTTCAAGATGTATCAGTCGAATAGAAGTGTATACCAGGAATGATGCTACATGACTAGTCTTAAAAACCTGCAACGAGTGCTGAGCGAACTGTCGATTACATGTAATTGTATTAAAGGACCAATTGTATTAAAGGACCACATACTAATTTTCCTGGCACTATAGTGCCCTGAGGGTGCCCCCACCCTCAGGGTCCCCCTCCCACCGGGCTGGATGGAGAGGAAGGGGTTAAATTTACTTCTTTCTCCAGCGCTGGGCGGGGGACTCTCCTCCTCCTTGGATGAATGCGCATGCGCGGCAAGAGCGGCACGCGCATTCAGCCAGTCTCATAGGAAAGCATTTATAATGCTTTCCTATGGACGCTGGCGTCTTCTCACTGTGAAAATCAGTGATGAATTTTAGCCCAATGGGTGATGTGGCACTCAAGGTGATCACTTGTTCCAGATCAAAGGCACCCAGGCAGGAGCATCGTGCAGAAGGGATCCGCAATCTCCCACAATAGAATCCAAGTATAATCCACGATGCATCACTAATGTCGCCCATAATAGGAATTAAAGTCTGAAAGAGACTGTCTAGCTGGCCCCCAGTCTGCAGGACCTTGCAGAGAGCACTGCTAAAGCACTGTGCATTGTCAAAGTACCCACTGCACAGAGCAAGCATCTTTAAACGACCACTATAGTGCCAGGAAAACAAACTTGTTTTTCTGACACTATAGGGTCTTTAGGTCCTCCCCACCCTCAGGGACCCACTCTCACCGGGCTGAAGGGGGAGGAAGGGGATAAACCCTTACCTTTCTCCAGCACCGGGCTCCCTCGGCGCTGGGAAACTCTCCTCCCTCTTCCAACGTCTGCGCTGAATGCACATGCGTGGCAAGAGCCGCGCGCGCATTCAATCAGTCCATAGGAAAGCATTTCTCAATACTTTCCTATGGACATCAGCGTCTTGTCACTGTGATTTTCAATGAGACAGCCACTAGAGGATGGATTAACCCTATTGTAAACATAGCAGTTTCTCTGAAACTGCTATGTTTACAGCTGCAGGGTTAACCCTAGATGGACCTGGCACCCAGACCACTTCATTGAGCTGAAGTGGTCTGGGTGCCTATAGTGGTCCTTTAAAAGGATTCTATAGTGTTAAGAATACTAAATAGTATTTCTAATACTATAGTGCCCCCTCCCTCGTGGGCTCCCCTCCAACAGATAATGGATAAAAAACACTTTAATTACTAAAACATTAAACCCTCGCCATAGGAAAGTATTGGATGTCCTCATGCAGTTAGGTGACCTAGAGTCCGGTAAACTCCCAGAAGCGTCTCTAGTGGCTGTCTGGTGCCTTAGCGCTGCAATATAAACATTGCAGTTTCTCAAAAAAAGGGACACTGCACCCTGACCACTTCAATGAGCTCAAGTGGTCTGGGTGCCTATAGTGTCCGTTTAATGATGCGCTCACAATGTGCTGCCCATGGACATTTCCTGGTGTCTCCGGATGTATAATGGACCCTGCAGTCAAGCAGGGCCGTCTTTAAGGAGGGGCAAACGGGGCAGCTGCCCTGGGCCCAGTTACTCATGGGGGGCCCAAAGCAGCTGCCCCGTGGGCGCCGTCGCTTGCAATAAAAAATTATTTTTAAAAAATATTTCCCTACCTAATGGGCCCGCGGTGCTAGTATTGCGGCTGCAGGGCCACCCAGTGAGCATGTTCCAGCAGGGGTCCGGTCGGCGCTGTGGCCCTTTAACAGCGCGACCGGGTCCTTGCTTAACGGCTGCATGGGAGGAAGTGACGTCGGCGAATCACTTCCTCCCACCTCAAAGACATCGGGCCGCCCGGGCAGCTGCTGAGCCAGGATCCTGTGAGGAGGGGGAGCAAGGAGAGCCAGACCCCCAACTCCCAACTACCCCAGCCAGCACACTGGACCCCAGGGAAGGAAGCCTCTTTCAAAGGTAGGAAACTGAAGAGTGTCTGTGTGTCAGTTTGTATGTCTGTCTGTGTGTCAGTTTGTATGTCTGTCTGTGTGTCAGTTTGTATGTCTGTGTGTCAGTTTGTATGTCTGTCGGTGTGTCAGTTTGTATGTCTGTCTGTGTGTCAGTATGTATGTGTGTGTGTCAGTATGTATGTCTGTGTGTGTGTCAGTATGTATGTCTTTGTGTGTGTCAGTATGTCTTTGTGTGTGTCAGTATGTCTGTGTGAGTGTCAGTATGTATGTGTCAGTCAGTATATGTCTGTGTGTCAGTTTGTATGTCTGTGTGAGTGTCAGTATGTATGTGCCAGTCAGTATATGTCTGTGTCAGTTTGTATGTCTGTGTGTGTGTCAGTATGTATGTCTGTGTGTGTGTCAGTATGTCTGTGTGTGTCAGTTTGTGTGTCTGTATGTATGTCGGTGTGCCAGTCAGTATGTATGTGTCAGTATGTATGTCTGTCACAGTGTCAGTATGTCTGTCACTGTGTGTGTGTGTATCTAAATGTTGTCAGTATGTATGTATCTGTGTGTGTGTGCCAGTGTGTATACCTGTGCATGTATCTGTACGTAGCCAATGTGTGTATCTGCATGTGTGTCAGTGTTTGTATCTGCATTTGTCAGGTTATGTATCTGTGTGTCTGTATGTTGTCAGTGTATTTGCGTGTGTGTGCGTGTGTGCATCTGTGTGTCTGCATGTGTGCCAGGTTGTGTGTCTGTATGTGTGTGTGTCAGTGTGTGTAAATGTGTCTGTATAGCTGCATCTGTATGATTGTGTATATCTGTGTATCTGAAAGTGTTTCTGTGTGTGTATGTGTATCACAGTGTGTGTTTGTGACAGTGCATGTGTATTTGTGCATACATCTCAGCATTCAACACTACACGCAAATACACACCTGCATTCAAACTTCAACACTACATATAAACACACCTCTTTTTTTAAACAACAAAATTATATATAAACACGCCAGTGTATTCATAAACCAACACTACACATAAATGCATACTTGCATTTAAATGCCATCTCCACATACAAACACACCCCTACATTCACACAAACATACTCCATACAAAATTGGAAAAAGAGAAAAAAAACAGCGCTAAATTGCCACAATAAAATTATAAGAAAGGCAGCAATCCTCAAAGGGGAGTCCCCAATAATCCCCTAATGGTAACAGATAGCGAGAACAAACAGAGATATAAGGATGCGCCTAGGCGTTAGGCGCATCCTTATATCTCTGTTTGTTCTCGCTATACTCCATACAAAAACATGCTTACACTCAAACACACAAATACTGCTCAGTGCTAAATATAACCCTGCATGCATAGGAAAATGGTAGCGCCCCAGCTGTCAAAGCATTGTTGGAGTTGCATGACAGATGGGGATCTACCTTTTGCCCCCTCTTGCCCAAAATAATTCATGCACCAGAGCCCTCTCTACTTTACGTCCGCCTCTGCGTTGGGGTGGGGGGCATGATTGCATGCCAGGAAGGGGACGACCGGGTTCAGGGGGCCCAAGCAAATGTTTGCCCAGGGTCCAATTCATATTAAAGACGGCCCTGCAGTCAAGGAATCCCTAAACATAGTTTAACAGTTAATAAATGTCCCAGCACAGGCTAAAGCTTCCATGAAGCAGTTACAGTGCCCACAGTGTCCCTTTAAATAGAAATAATTTTTTTTTTTTTAATTATAATAATACAACCAGTAGCTGACTTTCAGATAGCTATTTTCAGAGTTTAATACTGAATAAGGTTGCAATTAGACGACAGTTCCTTTTTAAAATG